GGTGGTGTTTGGTTCTACTGTGCAGAGCGGCCCCGGGGTGAGAGCCAGCTCAATGGCTGGTGCTAACAACAATTTTGATCGCATGTCTGATCAATTTCCAACCAAAGTCACGGGCGGAACGCTTCAACTTCTACACCACTGACTTTTGTGATAGGTGCATACATGTGAATAATAATTGTATTGATTGGATTTCCTTGAAGGAGGTAAAATATAATCCTTTCATAGATGTAATTTTTCATAGGAAAATCCTATCATGTGATCTCCAGCTTAATTTCGATCGCCGAGGTCATGTTTTCCAACTAGCGTTGGACTTCAAGATTTATTTTGAAATGTTCGTTTTGACAGGGAATGCCGCGCCAGTCCTCTTGATTGCTATTCCCGGCAGAGTAAAGGATATGATTTTCTGATTCAAAATAGCCAATCCCAGTCTATTTCAGCTCACTCATGTCTAGGATGTCAATCTTTATGCATTCCATTCCATTTTTGACAACTTCCAATTTTCCTAAAGTCAGGCCCAGCACATTCCAAGTTGTGATCATGAGCAGATTTTTGCAGCTGTGTCTCTTTACCTTGTGTTGAGCCCCTCAGCAAATGAAGGTCCTGAAGTCTCCACTCCCACAGGCCCTACCCCACTCACGTCACCTTGGTCGAGTCCCCGCAAGAAAGCAGCTCTTCCCCAGTCACATTTAAAAAAAATCATTTTATTGGGGGCTCATACGACCTCAGTCACATTTTAAGTACCCTTCGAACCAGGAGGTCTGCCCTGCCGCACTATCTCGGACAACGTCCTGTTTGCATTCATTCGGCCTTCAGTACCTGACAATGCTTCACAGAGACTCATGGCGTTTCCAACGGCTGCTTCCTCTAACGCAGGCAGTTGAGCCCTTCCTCATCGTCTGTTCTCAGTCGGAAGGCTCCGCTGAAGCCTCTTCATGTTGGGGGAGCCCTTTGAAGTGCCAGCGACATCGCTTCCAGCATCACAGTGACACACAAGCCACTGCAGCGCGACAAACTGACAGACGAGTGGTGGATATACAGAGTTAGGCTCCAATTTGTTTTGTTTATTGAAGTATGACAGATAAGCCCACACATGAAGCGTGGAAAAGAAACATCAAAATATCAGGAGTCGCACCTGAGTTGTGGGACTCCATGCGATTTCTTTTTTTTTTTTCTTCATCATTTTATTAGGGGCTCATACAACTCTTATCAAATTTCTATTTATTTTCTTTTTTTTTATGCAGTTGAGTTTCCCACATTTGGGGAAATCGCAGGGGTCAGCACATCCGGAGTGCAATGGATAAGCCTAGCCCTGGGAAAAACACCTTTGTGGTCATGGTATCTCCCCTGCCAGGTAAGTCTCAAATTTCTATTTCTTATAGGTGTTTTTCCATACTGTCCACATTTTCTCAGTGTAAAATTCTTAGGCCGTAACAAGACCGAAGGGCTAATGTAACTGAGTTATACTCCAGGTGAATAATATTGACTATACCGCAAACTGGCAGAAGAATGAATACATTTGTCTTGGAAGTACTGCTAGAATGCTCCTGCATGCCTCCTGTTACCAAGTCCAAAGCACACATCTCCCGATGCCAGTCCTTGAATAAGGACATCATGCTTGGTAGACAGTCCCCAAATAAGAGGCAGGCCTCGGACAAGATGGACTGATGTGACAGCAGCAATGGGTTGTAAGGATGGTGTAGGACCAGGATGCTGCGAATCGGACTAGACCTGACAGCACTAACTGACAGGACTTAACAGGAATTTCTGGGAGGTACCATTGGTTCAATGCTTGACCACTGACCAAAAGGTTGGCAATTCGAACCCACCTAGAGGTTACTCAGGAGCCCTGAAGGTGTAGTGGTTACATGTTGGGTTGCTATGCCCAACGTCAGCAGTTTGAAACTACCAGCTGCTTCCCAGGACAGGAAAGGCTTCCCAGTCCTGTAAAGAGTTGCAGTCTCAGAAACCCACAGGGGCAATTCTGCCCTGTCCTATAGGGTCACTGAGTCCGGATTGACTCGATGGCAGTGAGTTTGGCTTGGATTGTAGAGGTGTCTTAGATGACAGGACCGGTAATTCACTTCAGAAGGTCACAGCTTGGAAATGTCAATGAGGTAGAGTTCTATTCTGTAATCTTGGTCAAGTGGACACCCCAAGTCAACTGGGGCAGTGGGTAAGCGTAAATATATATACATAATTTGTGGTGCCTACAGCTACACCTTGAACTTTCAATATTTAGATGTCGCTTGTCCTGTTTTATGTAATCGTATCTAGGTGATTGGCTAACCCTAGAAGACTGCTCTATGTGCATGGGTACAGATAAGAGGTGGAAACACAGGGAATCCAGGACAGATAATGCCCTCAGGACCAATATTGAGAGTAGCCATACCAGGAAAGTAAGGGGAAGGTGGGGGGAGAAAGGAGGAACTTATCCCAATGATCTACCTATAACCCCGTCCCTGGGGGATGGACAACAGAAAAGTGGGTAAAGGGAGACATTGATCAGTGTAAGACATGAAAAATAATAATAATTTATACATTATCAAGGGTTCATGAGGGAGGGCAGGTGGGAGAGGGAGGGGAAAAAATGAGAAGCTGATACCAAGGGCTCAAGTAGAAAGAAAATATTTTGAAAATGATGATGGCAACAAATGTTCAAATGTGCTTGATACAATGGATGGATGGTGATAAGAGTTTTATGAGGTCACAATAAAATGATTTTTTTTAAAAAGAAACAAGAAAAAAAAATTCTTTCAGATAACAATCCAGGTTGAAAAGTATGTCCCGTTTCTAAAACTCCAGGTCTTACCACGTCTGCCTCTGTGGTTATCTTTGTAAGGCTCTTATTTAAGCTTGGATCGTGTCTGAGCACATAACCCTCTCCTAAGAGTTATGTACTGATACAATTATTATGTACTGATACAATTAACCAATCAGAAAAATTTGTTCTACGTTCCTGATGAAACTCTAGGTACCCAAACCTAGTGTGCTCACGTTGATGATTATAGAGATTATACAAATCCAACCTGTGGCACTCAAGTTGATTCCAACTCAGGGAGCCTGTAGGAGCGAACAGAACCCCGGAGGGTCCCCAAGGCTATACATCGTTAAGGAAGCAGATTGCCACACCCTTCTCCAGGAGGAAGGCTAGTGGGTTTGAACGATGGACCTTTCGGTTAGCAGCCAGTGGCTTTTAACCAGTGTGCCACCAAAAGCAAGCCAAACATGCTGACATCTCGTTGATTCTGACTCACAGCGAGTCCAGAGGACGGAGCAGAACTGCTTGTGGGTATCCAAGACAATTATTCCTTACAGGAACAGAAAGCCTCATTTTTCTCCTTTGGAGCACCTGGTGGTTTTGAACCACTGGCCTTGAGATTCACAGCCCAATACGAACCCACTATGCCACCAGGGCTCTGTACTGTACATACAATTTTAAGAGGTTATGCCACTAGGCCCTAAAGTTCTGTGCAAAATTTCCCAAACTCCCGTCAAGTCAATTCCACCTTACGGGGACCCTATAGCACTGGGTAGAACTGCTCGTGGGTTTCTGAGGCTGTAGATCTTTACGGGAGCAGAAAACATCATCTTTCTCCCTTAAGTGGCTGGAGGATTTGAACTGCAGACTTTGCAGTTAGGCTGGGCTAGCTGCTCAACTTGGCCTACAATTCCATTCGGACTCCCTGAAAAAAATCTAAGTACCCTGAAAACCTTAACTAATCGGATCACAGATTTACTTGGTAAGGATCTGTTGCCCGTCCCCTCGACCTGCAGCATGATCTGCCAATGGCATCCTGAGCTGTTATTTCTGACAGCCTGTAACAGATGCTCCCTAAGTGACTCTGGGTCTTCCCCCACTCCTTTTCTCTTCCCTAAAGACAAGAATCCCAGGGCTCTGAATAATGGGGTCTCCCAGGAACATGTTACTTTGAGGACTGACGTGAGCCTGACCCAAGCCATGGTGTGTTTTCAATGGCCTCCTATGGATGTGACAGTTGGCTATCGAATAAGGAAGATCGAAGAAAAAGTCAGTGCATTTGAATGATGGTGCCGGTGAACAATAGTAAAAGTCCCACGGACTGCCAAAGGACCAAACAAATCTGTCTGGGAAGAAGTACGGCCAGAACACTTCTTAGAAGCAAGGGTACCTGGATTTCGGCACCAAGAACAAACACACAAAAGCAGCAAGGGGAGCAAGACTGTCTCACATACTTTGGACATGTCGCAGGAGGGCAGTCGCAGGAGGACATCAAGCGTGCTCAGGCAGACAGGGATGGAAAGGAGGAAGGCCTTCGCTGAGATGGACTGACACAGTGGCTGCAATAATGGGCTCACACACAGGAACAGTCTCTATCAGCAGGAACCTACTCGATGGCACTTACAGGGACATGAATCCTGGGACTCTGGCTAATGGCCTCCCTGCCTTGGACAGGTCTACGCGGACCTTGCTTCTTCTAGGGTTTGTAACCTTGAGCCCCACAATCATTCACGTTCAGCCAACATCTGACTCAGGGGCAGGTTCAGCTTAGTAGAGGGGACCCTGTTTGGGCTGGGACCAGACCATCTGCGCCTGTCTCCAACCTTTCAGACCAAAGCAGCCCCAGGGGTCTGGGAGTGTTGTCTAGTCACCATGCCTAGGCCTGAGATCCCCAGGGGGCCTGTTTCTGTTGAGCCAGCAAAGTCCTCAAGGAATAAGAAGTATTTCTGGTGGAAGAAGCCATGCCGGCTGCTTCTGTACATCTAATCCCCTGCACGCATGCTGCACCAAGCGCTGTGTGGTCTCTTGCCTCTGGGGAGGGAGACAGCAGTGGGATTAGAACGGGGAGATTTGGGCTCCCTTCCTACCTCAGAACCTACAGGAACTGCTTCACACCTCAGTCTATGCCACTGAGAAGCATGAGGTCCTCCTTCCAGGGCCAGCTCACGCCCTCATGCCCGTCCAGGTCGGCTACCATCAGTAGCAGACCCCTTCCCCTAGGGGTCCAGAGACACAGGCCATGTGGGTGACAAAGGACATTTATTTAGGCTAGGTCCCTCGATCCATCCACGGGTGTAGAAATGCATATTTAAAGCCAGGGGACTCGTAGTCAGGACCACCCTCCCTCCTGATCCTTGGCACGGCTTTTCCTCCAGCCCCCTGCTCAGTGGCTCCCTTCCAAGTGTGGGGATCCGGTGGGATCACTTCTTGGCAGCTTCTTCCTGGGCTGCCAAGTCGGCCTCTTTCTGAGCAGCCAGGAACACAGCTCGCTCCTTCTGAAAAGCTGCCAGCTCCTCTGAACTGAGGCTGCAGGGGCAGAAAAACAGAGGGTACGTGAATGACTGGCCGCTGCTGGGGACCCGCAGGAGCCCCGTTACTTCCTGGAATCCAGTCTGCCCAGCCCTCTTTCCCTCCCTCATTTCCTTGCTCACTCGATCCCCAGGCCAGGCAGGCCAGGCAAGTCGATCTTTTGATGCTGGTCAGTGCTGAGACAAAAGGACAAATGCTTCCGAACAGGTCTGTTTGCCTGGTCTCCTTCACACCCCCATCTCCCACTCGGCCCTGACCCTACACCTGCATCACGCTGAACTTCCTTGGCCTTCCGTTCTCCCCTGGGATCTTTGCTTCCTGGGACATAGGACTCCAGTCCTTGAGCTGGCTGGATCTTCTCCCTTCCCAGGTCTTTGCTTAGATGTTACTTGTCCCACAAAGCCCTCGCTGGCACACCGGCAACCTCAGGCCCCCTCCTCTCCTCCCATGACACCTGTACTGCCTTTGCAGCGACCAAGAGGCTGTCTAACACTGCATGACGGCTCTGCCACATGCCCCTACCCTTGGGCTGGGAGCTCATAATGATGAGGACCCAATAAGGCTGCCTTGTTCCTGGCTGTATCCAAAACCCAGAATGCCTACCACAGAGCAGACACCTAGGGAATAGATCCAAGTGAATGAGCGAAATTCAGAGGCTGCCTTTCACACTCTCGTGGGCCTGTCCGCTTTGCCTGCCTCCCCAGGACACTCACTCCTTCACCACTCGGATGCCCAGGGAACGCGCAGAGCCGATTATGGAACGGACCACCGAGGAAAGGGGCACGTTCTGCAGGGCGAAGGCGTCATCCTGGGCTTTGACTTGGGCGATCTCATACACGTGCTTCAAGGTCACCAGCCCTGCCACCTCTTTGCCTGGGAGGAGAGCACACACAGCCCTTCAGGAGTCACGGAGTCCTTTCGAGAACTCCCAGAATCCTGCGCGCCCACCCTGGCCCTCACCTGTGTTCCGGGCCCCCTTCTCAATCCCAGCAGCCGCTTTCAGAAAGTAGGAAACAGTGGGTTGGCCAATCTTGAACTCAAATGTCCGGTCAGGCTTCAGAGAAAAAAAAGAAGTATGAGTCTACTTCTTTCTGCTTACTCAAGCGTAGGAAACACCTAACTTCCAGTCCCTACCCCACGTTCCCTGGATTCAATGCTCCCCCTGGGGTTGCTCTAAGAGAGGACAGAGCCTTAGGGGAAATCCATCTGCAGCAAGTGCTCCTGCCACCTCTATCCCAGCCCAACTCCGCTCTACAAACCCCAGGAGCAAAGAACAGCAACACGAATGGCAGGGAGGGCCCTGAATTGAGGGTGGTCCAGGCTCCACCGTGTAAGTGGGGGAGACGACCCAGGAACACAAGGAGCCTGGCCCCCTCCGTTGACCAGCTGCAGCCCCAAGAAGGGAAGCGACGCTGCACCTTCACAAAAATCTTGGTGGGCAGAGGAATGCCCTCTTTGAGGTCTTTGGTCTTCTCGTTGAACTCCTTGCAGAACTGGTTGATGGAAACGCCTCGCTGCGAGGGAAGCACACGGGGGCCGTGTGGGAGACGGGCTTCCTACCACCCACGTCCCTTCCCTCCTCGGCCTGCGGGCCACGGCGCCCCCCCCGGCTCAGATCCAGCCGCCACTTTGCGTGTCCGGTGATGGCCCGCGCCATCCCGCTGGATGCTCCCAACAGCCCGTGAAAGCGGGGCGCGGCCGGAGGTCAAGCCCGGGAGCAAAGGGCGTCGCGCTGAAGCAGAGCCGAGGTTCCGGCGGGGTCTCCGTGGCCCCAGGGCCCGCGCCCTCCTCCCGGAGCCTCCCGCGCCGAGTCCAGCGGCGGTCCAACCTGACCCAGGATGGGGCCCAGTGGGGGCCCGGCCATGGCCTGGCCCGCGCGCACGATGGTCCGGATCACGCCGCCGGGCTCCGGCTTCCGCAGGCCCCGAGCGGCCCGGCTCAGCTTCGACATGACGCGCGGTGGCTGTCCTCAACCCGACTCCTCACGGCCGGAGGAGGAGCGCCCCTCTGGGCGCCGCCATCTTGGGTCAGAGGTCAAGGGTCCTCATGGGGTCCTCACTCCGGCTTCGCCCAACTGTCTTCCGCTGGCTACGAGTAAGACAGGAAAGACGAGGAACGCTTTTAGCTGCTGTAAAGTGGATCCCGCCACTGGGGAACAAGAACGACAACGTGGCGGTCGGCCTCTATAAATATACTCTCTGATTACTCCCTGTCATCAAGCTGATCGGGAACCTGTTGGAGTTAGAATCAACTCTGTGGAAACAAGTTTAGTCTGGTTTGGTTTCAGCTAGACTAGAGGAAGGCTCCGAACGGCCCCACGACCCACTTTTCTCCAGGAGCGCGCACAGGCAGTGCCTTGGACAGCTAAGGGGGGGGGCCTTGGTGCCGCAGTGCATTGTGGGCGTGGTAGTTTTGGCGGCGCCGCACCTCGCTATCGAAGACGAGGCTGTCCCTTTCCGTATAGATTTCGTTTCGAGAACGTTATGGAGCGGTTTTCCGCCATCTGGTACCTTACCTGCTGGTGGCGCAGTGGTTAAGCGCTGGTCTGCTAGTTTTTAGGTTCGGGGTTTTAAACCCAGTTGCCGCGAGAGAAAGATGACCATAAAGAGCTACAGTCCCTGAAACTCACAGAGCCTGTCTATGGCCCCTCACGTAGGGTCGCTGTGAGCCGGCATCTCCATAGCCACGAGTTTACTTTGCTTTTGTTTTTTAACTGAGTCGCGGGAGCACAGCAGTGGGGCTTTAGCAAGTCCTGGGTTTGGGCCCCCTGCGCTGGACATAACGATAGCCCTTCCGTCTGAGATGAGCCAGTTACTGAGTGCCGCCCAGTGCATACCCACCCGCAGACCCCACGTTGGAACAGGGTTTCCCACGACTTTCTCCCACACAGCCCCGGGATGAAATCGAACTGCACCTTTACAGTGAGCAGTCTAGCACCCAAACAACAAAACGTACGGTCTCATCTTCCTCCTGTGACGCAGCTGGTGGGTTCGAACTGCTGTCAGTGTGTAAGGCACCATGCCACCAGGCTCCCGTATGTATCGCCAGGGCTCCAAATAGGAGCTTCGAGATTGTAAGGCACCGTGCAGTCAGTGCTTTTATGACACCCATTGTACAAATGGGGAAGTTGAGGTTCCCAAAACTCCAAGCTCACTGCCATGGAGTTGATTCCGATTCATGGCGACCTATAGGGACCTATAGGGACAGGATAGAACTGCCCCTGTGGGTTTCGGAGGCTAACTTTTCAAAATTATTATTATTAATAAATCATCCGATTGGGGGCTCTTACAGCTCTTAGAACAACCCATACATCAATTGTATTAAACACATTTGTACATAGGTTGCCATCATCATTTTTTCAAAACATTGTCTTTCTGCTTGAGCCCTTGGTATCAGCTCCTCTTTTTTTCCCCTCCCTCACCCTCCCACCCTTATGGACCCCTGATAAATTATTATTATGTTCATATCTTACACTGTCCATGGGGAGGTGAGTTAGTTAATTGTGCCAACCTGACCGATAATCACATGTGGGGCTAATTGAAAGGCTGAGGGATAAATGGGTGGTGAACCTCGCCTTTCTAGTTCTTGGGTCTCTTGCTTTGTGATGGTCGCACCAGGGTGCAGCTGCCTTAGCAGTTCCCTGCTTCAGCTTGCAAGATTGACTTCCTACAAAACATCCCCAAGGAGAAGCCGCATGGATCTATCCCGATGCAGCCCTGGGTGCTGGAGCAGCCTTGTGGAGACCCCTGCTAGTGCTGAGATGCTTATTCGTTCACTAACTCAGCTTTCCTCCTGCAGTTGGCGTCATTGCCTCTGTTTTGTGAGGTGGAGGACTTTGTGGACTGGTGTTGGGTTAATGGGTTAATTTTGGACTTGTGGGCTTGGGCAGCATTGGGTTGGGATGTTTTCGTGATGCACACTTTCTTTACATAAAACTCTCTTATACATGAGTTGCTGTGGATTTGTTTCTCTAAAGTACCTAGACTGATACAGGAGGACAAGGAGGTGTTATACTCCCCATTTCTCCCTTACAGGAACTAGTGGTCTTGAACTGCTGACCTTGTGGTTTGTGGCCCAAGGCATAACCACTAGGCCACCAGGGCCCCTGAAACTCCAAAAGTGGCCCAAAACACTTAGCCATAAGAGATAGGGTCTGATGTTAGAACTTCTTCCGTTAAGCAGGACTCGATACTGCCTCATCTAGTACAAAGAACCAGCCCATGTCAAAGTGCAAACCATATGCTACCATGTAATTTTTAATGAATTCTGGTTGAACTCACACTAAGTAAGTGGGGTGGTTCCTGATTCTGAAGCCTTTATAACCTTCTAATTGGTTAGCCTTGGAGTACCCAGGTGGTACAAGTGCTAACCCAAAGGTTGGCGGTTTGAATCAGCCATCGGAAATGCTCGGAGCACAGTTTTGCTTTGACACATGGGTAAGGTGACCAGATTTTAACATTGGTAAAGCGGGACACCATTGATAAAACTCATATCCTGGCGAAATAGCCACATGGCAGCCAAAAACCGTATATCCTAGCTTGTCGTGCATTCTTTCCAAAAATCAGAACTTTAAAAAAATGCTGCGGGATATGGGAAAAATTGTTAAAAATCAGAATTGTCCCGCCAAAAGCGGGACGTCTGGTCACCTTACACATGGGGTCATCAGATGTTAGATTAGACTCAACCACTCCTGGTTGTGGCTGTATCAGGACTGGGGACTGGATTGACTCTTCATTCATGGTAAAACTTTGGGCAAGACAATTAACTTCCCCATGCTCGGTTCCTTACAAGTCTAATGGGGCAAATAAGACTATGTAGTTAGACAAGTGGGGGGATTAAAATCATTTAACACCTGGTTCTGTGCCCTAATGACTGTTTTAAGTATTGAAAAATGATATGCCAATAGTTTATTATTTCATACAGTTAGTGTGAGGAACAGAAGGATTTCTCTTAAGTTGTCTCCCCAAAATATATGCCAGACTTAGCTTGAGAATGACTTCATTAGGTGGCGAAAATAGGTCAGATGTTATTCTCCCTAACATCAGCCATCTAGACTGTAGTCTGACTCACCCTAAATAAGACCCACTCCCTTCTGATAAGGATAGTGGTGGTCTGTTTACTTGTAGGAGATACCAGAGAGGGCAAACCCGCCCAAGGATGACCGAGGTTAGGTAGCCATTATCAGCTGTCTAGATCAAGCAGACACCACTGTTTATCCCACAACAAATACAGGCACACCCCTAGGTCATCACCCTCTTATTGATTGTATTGCCTATGTTGCTACCCCTCCCGGTGACTAAGGTTATTGTCCGCTATCAGGGGACTTGCATGCCTCCCAGAATAGTAATTGTCTGTTTTATTATATGAGACATCAGAGTGATCAAACTTGTTCTAGAATGAAATTGTATTGCCCCTTTCTGTGATGTATGACTCTGTAATCAGATCCCCCTACAGTGATATGATGCGTGGTTAGCAATAAATAATGAGGCTCCCTGGTTCTCGGGAGGGTGGCTGGAGAAGGTGGCTAAGGAGGATGAGGCAGCGGCTTCTTCTCGGACGGCTAAGCCCCCTCCACAAGGACCATTAGGCGGAGCTGAGGTGAGCTATGCTACCATGAATTGCGCCTGACTCCATTACTTGACTCCATCCTTTAACTCTCTTGCTCTCTATGACTTTACTATAATCTCTACTTATTATCGCTGTACAGTTGCGACCTACCGAACCTGTGATGTTTTGTGGGGTTCCCTCTTCCCTTTAGCCCCACAAGTTAGTACTTCAATAAGAACAATAAAAGAGGTACACAAAACTAGACTATGTTCAAAGAAAGAGTTGTAAAATATGAATGAAAAATAACTCAATAATACCCAATAAAACTGTTACTTAAGATATTTCCATATTACTTCTTGATCGATGTCCTCATGTGCAGCGCTCTTTGGTTTATTTATTTATTTGTTTGGGTTTTTTTAACATTTTATTAGGGGCTCATACAACTGTTATCACAATCCATACACACATCAATTGTGTAAAGCGCATTTGTACATCATTCTCAAAACATTTTCTCTCCACTTAAACCCCCGACATCAGGTCCTCATTTTTCCCCTCCCTACCCGCTCCCCCCTCCCGCATGAGCCCTCGATAGTTTATAAATGGGTATTTTGTCATATCTTGCCCTGTCCGACTTCTCCCTTCATCCACTTTTCGGTTGTCTGTCCCCCAGGGAGGAGGTCACACACAGTTCCATGTAATCGGTTCCCTCTTTCCTACCCATTCTCCCTTTACCCTCCCTGTTTTGCCACTCACTCCACTGGTCCTATAGGGCTCATCTGTCCTGGATTCCCTGTATTTTCAGTTCCTATCTGTACCAGTGTACCTCCTCTGGTCTAGCCAGACTTGCAAGATCGAATTCGAGTCATGGTAGTGGGAGCGGGGAGGAAACATTTAGGAACTAGAGGAAAGTTGTGTATCTCACGCTCTTTGGTTTATTACAAGCCTGGTTCTGTCTCACTTCTTATAGCTATGGATGGAATGAACATGACTTTTTTAAAATCATTTTATTGGGGGCTTGTACAACTCTTATCACCATCCATCCATCCATTGTGTCAAGCACATTTGTACATTTGTTGCCATCATCATTCTCAAAACATTTGCTATCTACTTGACCCCTTGGTATAAGCTCCTTATTTTTTCCCCTCCCTCCCAAGTCCTCCCTCCCTCATGAACCCTTGATAATTTATAAATTAGTATTATTTTGTCATGTCTTACATTGTCCTTCATCTCCCTTCACCCACTTTTCTGTTGTCCGTCCCCCAGGGAGGGGGTTATATGTAGATCCTTGTGATCGGTTTCCCCTTTGGAATGGACACGACTGTGGGCACTTACAATACGCTTTTGCACAGATGAACGTTAGAAAGAAGTCAGGAATGTGAATTTGTGGTTTCCTTCGTGAGAGCCCTGACTACAGGCGTGTGCACAATCATTAGC